GTAAACTTAATTTCAAATTAATTTCAGCTCAAATAAATTACTTATTAGATAAGATAATACCAATGTTAAATAATGTATTGAGTAAAAATGTCAGTTTACTGTTGTACTTCACTTTTGTTTTGAAAGTTTACTGCTAAACTATGTTAATATTTACTTTACTCTTCTAAACAAAGATTACACAACTTTCCTCTAGGTTTAAATGACTTATATATACACACACACCCACACACCCACCCACCCACTCAAACATAACTCCTCCTATCCCAAGAATAACAGCAACCCAATCTATGAGTTTTTATCATTGTACCTACTCCTAGTCCACTGCAATTGTGTAACTGAGAGTAGGTTAACAACGTTTTTAAAAATAAATATATAATAGGCATAATATTTAGTTTTACTCATCATTTTAAGCATGTTTTTTGAAAGAAATTATTGTAATTTAAAGTTGTTGCATTTTGAAATCATTGCAAAACAATTTTTTTTATTTATGGAAGAGTTTTATATGGATTATTCTTATTATTATCTTAATATAATTTTTTAAGTTGATCACTTGTTGTAAAATATTATTTTAATTCAAGCTGGTGGTGTTTATGTAAAACAAAAATTATGTTACAAATATCATATACTTTATTTTTCATTATCTTTGCTTCCAAAAATGCTTGAAGCAACCACTATTAGAGTTGGAAGTTACTGGAAGAGAAAAGATAAAGTTTATAACGTTTAACAGACGACTTTAAAGATTGAAAATTATATGAAATTATAATGCAAATATAAATAATAAATTTAAATGTAAATTATACTTATAAAAAAACTATGTTTAGCACTTATTGCAACTTACATAAAGAACAATAGAAATACATAATTATTAGTAAGTATTAAACGAAACAAATTCAATGTAAAAAGTAGCATCAGACAGCACATTTGATGCTAAGCTCCATTATTACCACTAAATCTTGTATTTTATCTTAGAAGTTAGGCTCTAGAGACTTTTAGAAAATCTTTCTGAAAATCTCAAGAGTCTAACATAAGATAAGATACATCTCTCATTCATGAGGCTGATTTTATTACCTTTTTGCAAGGACAAGGCCAAACTATTTGCAAAGAACTTTTTTTCTAATTTGTCTCTTAAATATTATGACCATTCTCTTCCCTCCATTCCGATTAAACAGCTTAACAATTGTTAGACATTTAAATCACTCCAGCTTTTGTTGCTAAAGTCATATCTTAATTAAACTCTTCTACAGTAAGCCACTGTCTAAACACACTTTTTTTTTCTAAACACATTGACTCACTTTGAGATAAATGTGTTTTAGAGAATCCAAAAAAATTAGATATCTTGGAGTTTTAATTGTTTTGAAAAAATACTTTAAAGTTTTCATTTATTTGTGTTTTTTTTCAAATATTAAAAAGAGTTTAGCATTTTCTAAAATACTTAGTTATGAAGTGATTTTCAAGTTTTCATGTCAAATGTTAACAGAAATCTCTTTAAAATTCATTGTGTTTAAAAATAGTTGGAGCCAAGGTTGTAAAAAAAGGGTGTACAACACATACTCTCCCTAAACAGTGAATTTCATTAGAGTCAGCGAAACGTACCTTAGTTTTCAAATGTGAGAGAGCAAAAAAATGAAACACATATATTTAATAACTGTAAAATATATGTGTTTATTTTTTTCACTGGCACTGATGTTTTGACATGCGCAGGTACATATATATATATATATTTAACACAGTAACTTAAACAGGTTTTTTCATCACCTTTGAAACGCAAGGGCTTAACTGCCTTAGCTTTGATTTTAAACTTGAAATTTGAACCAATTTTCTTAGATAACTAGTATGCAGGATTTGATTAAGAGCACAATCAATTACAATTTCATCATTCAGTAGCATAGCATAAAGGAAGCTTTCTTGACAGCATCAGTAAAAGATACCCTCAAGATTTATCAATACATTCTTTTGAACTCTGTTATCCTGTTTGATGATAAACTGTATTATTTTATAAAGAAACTTTTTTTGAAGAATACTTTTTAGGTTCATTGTTATTTCCATTTATTTCAGATATAATTAAGAGAATTGGTAGCTCAGACTGGTGAAGCAAACGACGTATCTTAATTTTACAAACAAACTATCATCCACACCAGCGCCAAAACATGTGTTGCCTGAAACTATTGTTTTTATAATGCTTATAGTGCTGAAGTATACAATGCTGAAAAGAACATGTTATGACCAGAAAAAAGATTATTTTTACAAGTAAAAGTGAGATGATGTTTATATTTGGTGGTTTGACACAAAGCAGGTTTGACACAGTTTGACACCCCGTTACACTTGTATTTCATTGTCTTGTATTTTCAAAAATTCATTAGTTCATTTCATAAACTAATGAATTTTTTTCTTTTTTCCATCCACACCAATTACTTTTAATTGTAAACTTTCTTGACGATGCATTGTATCAATTGAATTAGCCACTCTTGTTTTTTCACAAATTACCCTATTTTCAGTTATTACACAGTCAATTTTATTTTATTTTATTTCAGTTCATCTCCCTAAAGCCATGAAGGTCACTACAGTTGAGGAGGCTACTTTAGTTGTGGTTAAAATCCTCTCTCAACTCTCTAATTTCAAAACACAAATCTTGGCAAACAAGGCTACTGCGTAAAGGAACAATTTGAGCGCGGTACTACAATGGACATGATGGGGATTAAACTCGGAACTTCTCGCTTATGAGGTAAGCTCTCAACCACTACCTTACTACCGCATTATTAACGCAGTTGTAGTAGCATCACTAACTTCATATCATATTGCAGTCTTAGCTATCATAGTTAAGTCTAGTACCATTTTTCATTAACTTTTTGCTCTTCAAACTCATCACTTTCAGCTGTATCTAAAGTTAAAAATTCAACAATAAAAATTTCATGTGAACCAACTTCTGATATTATTTTAAGGTTTCTCTGTCTAATTTTCTTTCCAGTAGCCTCTTTTTTTCTCTCTATCAAATAATTTTACAACCCTTGTTGCCACTGCTTGGTCAACACTGTCAAAGTTCCAACTTCTTTTTATTTATTTGTAAATGTAAAATAATACTGGTAAAAAAAAAAGTATTAATTTTTTACTTTTCTCACAGAGACAAACTATATTTCATTGTGCACTCACTTTTCTCAACATCCAGCTTGCCTAAATGTTTATTGTTTTACTATCAAACCAAAATCATTTTAAAAATATTTAGTCTTCTGCAAATTTAAAAGTAGTGGTGGGGAGGGGGGGCGGGGAGGTTTGGATAGGGTACTGGATTTCTAACTACACATATGAATTATATTTATCTATCTTTACAATTATTATTAATTGGAATGTCACACTGACAAGCAGACAGATCAAACAACATTTCCAGTTTCTTTTCTAACCAGCTTATATTGGATATGTGGACACTGCTTGAAATGTTCTTGAAAATTTATTTTTCAGTTGGTTATCTTTTATCAAAGATTTTAAAAGCTGACTTTTGCTATGTCAATTTTCAAGTCAAAAGTTAATTTTCTGCCTGTAAAATAATCTTTCTCAAACTTGTAACCATATTGAATGAGCTCTTGTTGTAAGTTGGTGAATTGCTCATGTGTAAATTATTGGATTTTTTACTAAATCTTTTTTACTAAATATTGTTTCTACTAAAACCTTCGTAGGTCTTCTAAACTTTTTTGAGATCACAATATGAGTTTATTATTTTATTAAATAATAAAGTGAGAATCTTTCATTTAGTTTATCAAAATAAAATATATTTTGGAAATTTAAACATATTATAAACATGTTATAATTCCACATAAATGTTATAATTCCACATAGAAACATATAAACAACTCCTAATGTATTATTAAGTTATTAGACTAGTTATTAATTAGTTACCAGTCCAAATTAAAGCATGGTATAAGCAAATAATAAATTTATTTATCCGATTAAAAGCATGATACAACTATTAAATATTAATAACAGCTGCACAATAGATAAAAAAAACATAGCAAATGTGTAACATGCAATACAAAATAAGCAAAATAAATTTTTTTTAAGAATTTACATATTATGTATCCACTTATTAACAGTTAGATTACGTATTAGTTTAATAAATAGTTTTTTTTATCAACCATAAAGCGCTGTTGTTAACTGTAAATTTTTCAATATTTTTACTTTTAAACAATCTGAAAAAGTATTTTATTTCCAGACCTTAAGGAACTCCACTGTAAAAATTGCATGTTTTTCTTTTGTATTACTCTAAAAGTTTGAAGATTTTTTTAAATTTTTTTATGCCGCAATTAATATATATACAATACATAAACTGCACACTGAGCCAAGTGATATTCCATACATGACAGTGGCTTATTCTACAGCTTGTGGACGTGTAGTCCAGACAACATTCCTGTCATAGCCTTACAAAATTGTTCTCCAGAACTCTCTTCAATTCTCTAAACTATTTAATAAGTGCTTAACTGATTCTTGTTTTCCTGCCAGCTGGAGAATGGTATCTGTGGTTCAAATTTTCAAAAATTACAGAGAACATTATGACCCCTCCAATTATCATTCGATCAGTCTTCTTTCTGCTATTAGCAAGGTCTTTGAGTCTTTGATAAACAAATTTTTCACATCTCATCTTCAAATAACTTACTGTCTGAAAATCAATATGGCTTTTGATCTTTTTGCTCTGACTTCGGCTGACTCCCTAACTGCTATGACTGAAAGATTTTATTGTTCATTAAATGAAAGGGGAAAGGCTAGGGCTATTGCTCTTGACATATCTTTCGATAAAATTTGTCAAGCAGTTCTTCTCCATAAGCTTACTTCATATGGTGTATCTGGTAAAATTTTTGAGATAATCAAATCTTTTCTTTTTAACCGCTTTATTAAACCCATCTTGATTTCCAGTAATTTCTGGGGTACCTCAAGTTTCTATCTATGGTCCTGTTTTGTTTCTTATCTATATTAATGATTTTCCCGACATCCTTACATCTAAAGTAGCTCTTTGT